GAACGGCAAGGGGATCAAAGAATTGTAGAGTCGGAAGGGGCCACGAGGGACATCTAGTCCAACCCCCTGCAATGCAGGAATAATAATAATAATAATAATAACCCCTGACTCTGCGATTAAGAGTCTCATGCTGTACCGACTGAGCCATTTGGGCATGTGTTTGCTGTCCCTTGGCAACTTTTGAGATATACTTGCATGCCTGGGTCAGAACTGTCTTTTAGCCAAGTACAGTGGTACCTCGGGTTACATACGCTTCAGGTTACAGACTCCACTAACCCAGAAATAGTACCTCGGGTTAAGAACTTTGCTTCAGGATGAGAACAGAAATTGTGCTCCAGTGGCATGGCGGCAGCGGGAGGCCCCATTAGCTAAAGTGGTGCGTCAGGTTAAGAACAGTTTCAGGTTAAGAACGGACCTCCAGAATGAATTAAGTACTTAACCCGAGGTACCACTGTAGTTGGATAACACAACAGAACTCCCCTCCCTTTATTTCTCCTGCGTGCCCCCTGTCCCGCGCTCAAATCTGCTATGGAAAAAAGGTTAAGTAAAATCTCGGAGCAGATTTGGGGTGGGTGCAGGTGGTTTTCCATTGCACAGTGCCATTTCGCTCGTGCACTTAGTTGGATACAAGACTGTGACTTAGTTGGATACAAGACCGGGTGTCTCTTGCCCTGTTCATATTGCTCTCCCACACGTTTTAGAAATATCTCATCTGTGTAGCAGAAATAATCCTTTATGGTTAACAGCTAAGGGGTGTCATTAGAAGAAAGCTGCTAGTATAATTAGGTTTCTTTTAGGAGGATCCCATTAACATTCCCTTAAGCATTTTGATGTGGCAAAATGAACAAGGAATTTGGTTTAGGGAAGGCTGCCGAGTAAGGAGGGAGCAGGGCACTAGTATGGTTTTAGATGTCCTGGCTTGATGTTTCATGATGTTTCAAAAGTGCCAAGCCTGTAATACACCAGAGTGACAACCTCAGAGTGATCTCTCAGTGACGTTTCCCTGAAGACAGTTCCAGCAACCATCTGCAGCCATTGCAGCCATGCACCTCAGTTTTGAGGCCTGCTAGCATCAGCAAATAATTGCTCAAGGTGGAATGTGCTGACCGCTACAGTGGCACCTGAGGTTAAGAACTTAATTCATTCTGGAGGTCTGTTCTTAACCTGAAACTGTTCTTAACCTGAGGTACCACTTTAGCTAATGGGGCCTCCCGCTGCTGCCACGCTGCCACCGCACAATTTCTGTTCTCATCCTGAAGCAAAATTCTTAACCTGAGGTACTGATTCTGGGTTAGCGGAGTCTGTAACCTGATGCGTCTGTATCCTGAGGTGCCACTGTATTTTAGCACAACACCACTACATGTCATAAGACAAACCCAGGGCTATCAGAACCTTAAAACGATGGGTTCAAATTAGAAGAAGGAAGATTTTGACTAAGTGTTAGGGGAAACTGATTGGGAAAGCTATTTAGCAACTGAACAGGTTGCCTCAGAAGGTGATAGGCTCTTTTATTAGACGTTTATTGGCAGAGGCTTCCCTGTCAGGGAAGCTGTATTTCCTACTTGGATAGGGGGTTGGACAATTTGGCTTTTGAGATGCTTTCCAACTCTGATCTGTGATACTCCAGTTTTTCAACAATTTCATTTCCAAACTTGCTTCAATATCTTGGTGGAATGCGGGAGGACATTTCTCAGAGTACGTTGGATGTATTTGCGGAATCTTTTTCTCTCAGAGCATATTGTTCATTCCCCAAAAGGAGCAGGGGAGTTTCATGAATCACAACTGCTGTTGCCTCTGCAATTTTCAGTGTTCCGAGTACTCAAACATGAAAAGTTAGAGAAATTAGTGTACCGGAAACCTAAAAGCTACTCGTTTGTGGCTCTTTTGCAGAAGTCAACCACTTTACCTAGTGAATGAAAAGTTCACCTAAGATTTTAAGTGAACTGAAGACACCGAAAGTCAATATACTGCAGGAGGGATTCTGTATTGTTGATACAAAAGTTGGCAAAGGGGATATCAAGAGCAGGAAAATAAAACCTTAAAATCCCTCTATGGAAGTATAAAAAGAATTTGGCACACACACCCAGATTAAAATGATCTTGATGCAATTTGGAAGCTTAAATTGGTTCAGCATCTTATCCCGTTTAAAAATTCCCCATTCTCGTCCTGAAGTGACCTGATTATAATTTATCTTCACATTCTGTGGAAACGTCCTGGCATATTCATGAGCATAAGCAGTAGTCTCCAGAATGACTAACATCCTTCTGCTCTCATTTAGGATTATCTCCGATTAAAAGGGCTGAAGCAGCACAAATTGTTAAATATTGAGATGACATTAATTACATTCTAGTGGCAAAGGAAGAGGGAGTTAAGGTCAAAACTATGTTTGTCTTTTGGAAGCTGCATTGGGACTGCATTATGTGTGCAGAAAGAAAACAGGGCAGAAGGAAGCTCTGAGCACTGCCAAGTGATAGTTTTTCAGAGATTGCCAATTATCAACAAAAAGTGGCCCAGATAAGCTCTTCTTTGGAAAAAGTTTCCGTGACCTTATTTCTGTGTTTTTCAGCACACTTGGTGCATAATCAAAGTAAAACTTATTGTAAGGTTTTTCTGTATACCTCTCCAGATCGCCGGCACTGCGTGCCAAAGTTCACTTTCCCTTTAAAATGTTGCGTCAGAAGTCCCTTTTAACTAGAGCTGGCCTGAAGTCGCCTGATTGCATTTTAAGACTCCACAGGGCCTCACAACACATTCAAGAGTTTTGTTCAAGCTGGAGCTATCCCAGTCTTTTAAATGTCAGATAACTCAATTCATAACTCTTGAGTGTTTTGTAGCAATTAATCATAAGGATAATTCCCTGCTCATGCACAGTCCCAAATGGCCGCCTCCTGAGCTTGCATACTCCCTCTCAGCCTCTCCTACTGAGGAGAAATTCAGAAGCTTTCCTCTTCCCTTACCCATGGTTTATCTTGCCACCAGGTGCAACAAACTGTGGTTAACAGTAACTCTGGTTAGTTTCAAACATGTCATTTTGAAACACTGTTCATGAAAACTGGCTTATTTAAACAAACCATAGTTGTTATTAACCACAATTTTCCGTTTGGGCAGCATGGGAAGTTTCTGTTAACTAAAAGCAGTCACATGGGAAGAAAGGGTGAGCGGAACATGCAGTCCTCAATGAGAGGGCAGGCTTGTGCACATTGTGCTAAACTATTTAAAAATCGTGATGGGGAACCTGTGGTCTTCCAGTGGTTTTTTGCACAATGGTGCCCATCATCTCTTCTCATTGGTCATGCTGTCTGAGGCTGATGGAAGTTAAAGTTCAACAATGATGCAAACATTGTGATATTTGATTGAATATTAGATATAGATAGATATAGATATAGATTCTGCACTAACTGTCCCAATATCAATTGCCTTTAACCTTTTAGATAGAATGTATTAGCCTTGGTTTTTGTGTGCCTGCATTTTGTAACCTCCGTGCTTTCTTCCTATGCTGTGTGAACATTGCCTAGCCTTCTAGACCTATCTGACCCTAGAAAGGGAAATGATTATTGTCAAAGAGGTATGTGTTGAGTTCGCATCTGGAAGGCAACGGGTCATTCAGCCCTGGTTTAAGCATTCAGCAAGACGGAAGAGCACAGCAGTGAAATCAGCTGAATTATACAGCTAGACCCTGGCTTTGTTCTCTGATGACTTAGGTGGAATTTCTGCCAGGTAGAGACAAGCCATGGCTCCTGTATGATAGGAGGTTCCTCTGCTCCATCCCGTTTTTGAAAAAAGTATGCTGACTCCACATTCACCACTTTGACGCTAAGGGATTGTTTTTTCAGTTTCCCTCCGTGCATCACAATCAAGCAGTTTTGATTGGAGGTAAATGAGTTGAATCAAGATAATCTTTTCATGGGTATATTCAGTGCAAAGGTGCATTTAGTACATTACTATAACAAGAAGTATTGCAAGTTTGGTGGTACTTTGAACAAAGAAACAGGCTAAACCTATCACAGTGGGTGGTAAATGACTAATGTAAGTGGTCTTCAGTGGTTTTGTTACTTACAGTTCGAAGCTGAGTAAACACTATTGAACTGGCCTTCCTGCAATTGAGATGGAGAGATTTTACCTGCTGTTGGGACTGTGAAACCATTGGCTCTTAAACTTAAAGATCGATCTTCTCGCTCACATGCAATTTGAGGAAAAGATTTTGCAAGAATTTTTCCATCCGCCACAATTAAGATAATTCTGCAGCTCTCTGGTTAGTGGTGATTTAAGCCACCTACTAATATTCCTGGTATGTGAAACTCATTTCATCCAATTGAAATGTAGTTACTTAACGAACGGGCATAAGCCTCTGCTTATTTTGTGTTCAAGTATAGAAATTGAAGACCCACAGAGAATTGAACTTCTTGAGCATCCGCTCTGAATAAAAATAAGTCTCTCAACCAGCCTTCCCCCAACATGATGCCCCCCGCAGATATTCTGTACTACATCATCTCTAACCATTGACCATGCTGACAGTTTGACTCCAATTACCATCAGCCCTATCCAGCAGGGATGACGGGACTTGTAGTCCATCAGCATCTGGAAGATCACATTCCCCATCTCTAGTATAAATGCATAGTAGTAGACCAGCTCCTGTAGGGCATAGGCATTTGAATAATACTTCATTGGTGCATATTTATTGAGCCGCTTTGATGCTTGTTGCACTTGTTGCATAAGACTTAGCCAGCCAGCCCTACTTAACTAGAAGAGCTGCCGATCACTGGTAGACCATTCAGAAGGTCCCTGGTCCAACCTCTGGCATGTCCAGGAATGGCTGGAAAATGTCCCCGGTCCAAAACCCTGGAGAGCCTCTTCCAATCAATGCAGACAATGGACTTGTCTAAAACAGCTCTGTATGTTCCTGCCATCCTGACTTACATGGGGGAAATATATCTGTTCCACGTTATACAGCCAGACACTGATCCCCTTCCCGTTGATTTATTGCCACGCTTTACTGCTCCAGGAATGAAACATAAAGGTGACTGTCCTCTTTCTAGCTTTAGTCCCAACATAGACGTGTGGATATTTTACCCAAGGCCCAAATGAGGTCTCCACTCCCAGGATGGTTCCGAGACGGCACTTGTCATTTTTGTATTGATCTTCCTTATTGACATTCAGTGCCTGTGCTTATTAAAGCCTCCAGAGCTTGGGGGAGAGGGGGAGCACCTGTCTCAATTTCTGACAGACCTTTTTGTCTTGTGTGTTGCCCTTTCTGCTACCCCGTGAAAGGTGCCATCATTGTCAGGAGATGCCCAAAGCGCATAGGAGGCTTTTGGGAAAGCTGGAATTTGTATGATCACTCTGCCAGAACATTTCAACTGCGCCTATCTTTTTTCCAGCATTAATGAGCAAAGAGCTACAGGATGTGAGCAGCAATCAGTCATCTCTTTTAATTAATCTCCTCTCATTTAGCTATGCATGTGCCTTTTATAGGAGCTTGACAGAGTGTAACGCACACTTCCCTGAAATGTCTCTCTTAATTTATGGCATTTTTTTTTCAAAGGGGAAGCAGTGCTGCTGTTGACTGAACATGAAGTGTGCATCAGCTAATGCGGCTCTTACTATTCCGTCCTGTGCATATTTACTCAGAACTAAGTCCCACTGTCTGTTAAATTAAGCTTACGTCCAGGTAAATGTGCACAGGATTGCAACATTAGGCTCAAAAGTGTGTTCTGTTGTTCCAAGGAACATGCACTGCATTGCAGAAACCTTAATCTAAATCAGTGTAGGGAAAAATTAGCCCTCGATATGTTGCTGGACTGTGACTCCCAACGTCTCTGCTCATTGACCATGCTTGTTAGGGGTGATGGGAGTAGTAGCTTAGCAATGTCTAAAGGGCCCAAAGTTCCCTGCCCCTAACCTAAACAATTTACTGCTGAGCACATATTGGCCTGTTTTGAAGATACAGCAGGAGGACCTTTTACTCAGCAGTAGAACATATACTTTGCATGCCAAAGGTCCAAGGTTCAATCTTTGGCATCTCCAATCAAAAAGGTTCTACGAGAACTTAGAAAACTTGTTGTTGTTTAGTCGGGTCCGACTCTTTGTGACCCCATGGACCACAGCACGCTAGGCACTCCTGTCTTCCACTGCCTCCCGCAGTTTAGTCATGTTGGTAGCTTTGAGAACACTGTCCAACCATCTTGTCCTCTGTCGTCCCTTCTCCTTGTGCCCTCCATCTTTCCCAACATCAGGGTCTTTTCCAGGGAGTCTTCTCTTCTCATGAGGTGGCCAAAGTATTGGAGCCTCAGCTTCAGGATCTGTCCTTCCAGTGAGCACTCAGGGCTGATTTCCTTCAGAATGGATAGGTTTGATCTTCTTGCAGTCCATGGGACTCTCAAGAGTCTCCTCCAGCACCATAAGTCAAGAGCATCAATTCTTCGGCGATCAGCCTTCTTTATGGTCCAGCTCTCACTTCCATACATCACTACTGGGGAAACCATAGCTTTAACTGTACAGACCTTTATTGGCAAGGTGATATCTCTGCTTTTTAAGATGTTGTCTAGATTTGTCATTGCTTTTCTCCCAAGAAGCAGGCGTCTTTTAATTTCGTGACTGCTGTCACCATCTGCAGTGATCATGGAGTCCAAGAAAGTATAATCTCTCACTGCCTCCATTTCTTCCCCTTCTATTTGCCAGGAGGCGATGGGACCTGTGGCCATGATCTTCGTTTTTTTGATGTTGAGCTTCAGACCATATTTTGGGCTCTCCTCTTTGACCCTCAATAAAAGGTTCTTTAATTCCTCCTCACTTTCTGCCATCAAGGTTGTGTCGTCTGCATATCTGAGGTTGTTGATATTTCTTCCAGCAATCTTAATTCTGGCTAGGGATCCTTCCAGCCCAGACTTTTGCATGATGAATTCTGCATAAAAGTTAAATAAGCAGGGAGACAATATACAGCCTTGCCGTATTCCTTTCCCAATTTTGAACCAATCAGTTGTTCCATCTCCAGTTCTAACTGTAGTTTCTTATCCCACATAGAGATTTCTCAGGAGACAGATGAGGTGATCAGGCACTCCCATTTCTTTAAGAACTTGCCATAGTTTGCTGTGGTCGACACAGTCAAATGCTTTTGCATAGTCAATGAAGCAGAAGTAGATGTTTTTCTGGAACTCTCTAGCTTTTTCCATAATCCAGCACACGTTTGCAATTTGGTCTCTGGTTCCTCTGCCTCTTGGAAATCCAGCTACCAAATCAGGCCATTGGAGATTCCAGCTAAACATCAGGAAAAACTTTCTGACAGTACGAACTGTTCGATAGTCTCCCTCAGGAGGTTGTGGACTCTCCTTCCTTGAAGGTTTTTAAGTGGAGCTTGGATGGCCATCTGCTGTGGATGCTTTAGCTGAGTTTCCTGCATTGCAAGAGGTTGGACTAGATGACTCCTGGGATCCCTTCCAACTCTATGATTCTATTATTCTACCCCACGCTCAGTATTGTATACACTGGCAGGGACTCTCCAAGTTTCAGAAGATTGTCCTTGAAGTTGTATTTCTGTGGCTCTTGAAGCCTTAACAGTCTTTGTGTTTTGAGATTATCTGTGCAGTCATGAATACTGGAAACCTGCTGAGTTCTTGTTGTTGATGTGTGTGTGTGTGTGTGTGTGTGTGTGTGTGGTGATTTCACATCAAAATGTTCATTAGGTGTAAAATAGGATCTCCATTCAGTCTCCTTCTTCTGGACCTGCAAAATCTAGAAGGCAAAAACTGGAAGTTAACTTTTCCCCTCCTCTTTCTCCCACCAGGGACAAATGTTCATGAAGCCAAGCGCATTCTGACTGAAAGTGGGCTCCCGATCACCGCCGCAAGTGACCTTGAAGATGCTGCCAAGAAGGCAGTGGCCAGTGTGACGAAGAAATAGAAGACACTTCCAGCAAAGGACTTTATATAACATACAACATCCCCCAAGTTGTCTCAAATGCATATCTTTTAACCAGCCAGGAGTAAAACTCTATTTGGTCAGCCTAACCTATCCATAATAAAGTACGAGTTTTTTGGTGTATATAAAAAAAAAAATTGTTTGGAACTTCACACAGAGCTCCTGTTGTTCAGTGATATTTCACAATGGTCCGTGAGTACAGTATGATGAGTAACTACTATCTATTTCCACTCTGGTTTCTTCCTCATATAATATGCCATTGTCAGTGACTTGTAATTTTTGTAAGGTGTTTTGGTACATCTTTAATGTCCTGGAGGAATAGTAGAGAATGGTTCGGTCTTTATTGGTCATCATGGCCAGGATCCAAGGAAGCACACAATGGGAATTTTGTTTCTCAAAAATAGCAGCCTTCCAACATGGCAAGAAACTTTTGAAACTGCCACAAATGCCATTTGTGATAAGACTTGCCAATTGAATTTTTAAAAGACAAAAAAAAAAAAGATTCCAAATTGGGTATGCCCAAAAGCCTTCAGGGTGTAAGATACAGCTTTCTGAATCTTGGCCATTTTTTTTAAAAAACCTTTTCCAACTAGGGCTAGAGAAATGGTTACATTTATATTATGTCATTTGAGCCAAAATAACAGGAATTGGATTTTTCACTTAGAAGATGCGTACCTGTTTCACACATGCCTTAAAATTAAATGTTTGTGCTTTGATATCCACTGTATACCTCACATCAGAAGAAAACTCAAAAATGTAGCTGTGTGAAACCATACTGATATATCATATCATGAATGAATGAGTTTCTCGTGTGAATACTTAAGCAATGAAGGACGAATGCAATGCATAGTGCCATGTTATTTTGATAACTGTGTGTCCACTTAATACTGACTGTGACCTTCCTAAATCAATGTGCATTGTTGCTGGAGAATCGACATAGTGTGCTGAAGATCTTTTTGTGGGTGGGATGACATTTCTTCAAACATTTATACTGTTATCCCACTGAGATTAGTCAAACCTGCCTAGTAGGAGCTGTCAGGGAACCTGCCGTCATTAAAAAGAATGTGAAAAAATATATAAACCATAATGAGAATTATTAGGGCATAATCTGGCTTGAGATAAGAACTTTCCAGTTCTGTTAATTGCGAAGAAGGTATTAATCATGAGCTTCATTTTCATTTTGCAATAAATTGAACTTTCAAGTACTTAACGTTGGCTTTATCGTGCCTTTGATTTGTGGAAAATATGTATGCAAAAAAGGTGCAGAAGCTGTTGAACTGATTCAATAACTATTATGCTTATTTCACAATGGAAAGATTTGTTTTTTAAAAAGAAAAACAACTGGAATGTTCACTGTTGAAATCTACTTTGTTTTTGGTGCTGGTAATTCACACGAGTTCTACAATAAGGAAACAGAAGTATACGCCACATTGTCTAACTAACTTAAACCACAAATGCATGTGCTGAACTTTTTTGTTTAATGTTCAGGAAAGACTATTGAAACTAATTTAAGTGAAAATTATCTAATAAATTTTTCATTGTTAATATCTCATTAGTTCCATTTAATGCTGTGGGTTTGTTTTTTTTATACAGGATTCTCAGGAAGTCGTAGGCAAACCACCAATTCCAAAGCTGTGTTGGACCCATACTAGCAAGATGGGAGGAAATCTCTATTTTCTCTCCCCCACCACCACTGTGAAATCTGATGCTCCCCTGGGACACACTCCCAGACACCACAGAATTGCACCATTAATGTTAGATCACACATTTTTCTCACAACCAGAAGGTCCTAGCCTCTGCATATAGGGCTGGAAAAGCCGTTCTGATGTCTGGACTGGCTGGATGTCATGGACTGGGGGGATACAAAAGAGTGATGGAATGCACCAACCAGGAAACCCCCAAGGGAAGAAGGCTCAGAGCCAGGGAATTGGTGGTGGGACCGTGATGAGTGGTCAGAAGAAGAAAGAGCAGACTGGGAGGAGGTGGTGTCGGAAGTTGAAGAGGTAGCAGGGTTTAGTGAACAGGAAGAGGCTGTGGCAGAGATCGGTTCAGACTCTGACTCTGAGGCTGGAGAGGAGGGCAGCCAGGAGACGGAGCGGAGACAGGCTGCTCCAGGGAGTTTCCCCCTTGGTCTCCTAGAACTAACAAAGAAACGAAATGAGAGAGCAGAGGATGGTTGTGCACAGACACAGCATGAGACTGCATGGGAAAGACCCTGGAGAGGAGGACTCCAGGTGGACACTGGGAAGGCGGCGACCTTCAGTCCCGCAACTGCTTCATTGGGGCAAGACCTGGGAAGAGTTGCTAAGAACACTAGGCCTGAGCTGTGGCTTGTTCCTTTGAATAAAGATTTAACTGCAGGTGATCTATGGTTTTTGTTGCTGACCTATGCCTGACTCCAACCCTGAGACCCAGTGTGGTGTAGTGGTTAAGAGCGGTGGACTCGTAATCTGGTGAACCGGGTTCGCGTCCCCACTCCTCCACATGCAGCTGCTGGGTGACCTTGGGCTTGTCACACTTCTCTGAAGTCTCTCAGCCCCACTCACCTCACAGAGTGTTTGTTGTGGGGCAGGAAGGGGAAAGGAGATTGTTAGCCGCTTTGAGACTCCTTCAGGTAGTGATAAAGCGGGATATCAAATCCAAACTCTTCTTCTTCTTCTTCTGACATGTGGTCTGACTCAGTATAAGGCAGCTTCCAGTCCTTCTTCATTTCCCCCCAACATTAATTTATACCGCAGTCTCATTCCAACAGAGCTTCCTAGTGAGTGCACTTCTGATCACAGTCTTGGACAACAAGGATTCCCTTTAAAATTGCAAATGCGTAGCAGCCCTGTTACCTTAACTGGTTTTCTAGTCCTGGACCAATGCCCTGATGCAGGATGTATTATCTGCATAGCTAAAAAGTGTACCTGCCATTAATAGCTCGCTTGACTCTGTTGGACTATAGCCAGTTTGTTCCTCCAGATTTTACAGGGGGGAGGGGGGAGTGGAGCCAACGTTTCCCCCTAGGGCAGATGTACAGGAACGGTGTCGGAAAGTAGTCTGATAATCTGACACTAAATTCCTATTGAAATCAAGACTAATTTGTTCTGAAAACTAATGGGGCCAGTCGGTGACAGAAGTAGGTTACTCTGCGAATGAGCTGCTGTTGAGGGAGATGACATGATGGGAGTTTGAGGCAGACCTTTTTACATTTTGTAAACTGACGCTTCTGGAAAAAAGCAGGTCATGGCGAGGCAGGCTGACAGTGACAAAGCATCTGTAAACACTTCTGGGACGGCAAGGCTCGGAGGACTATCCACGTTAAGACAGACTTCCTCCCCCAAATTCCACAAGCAGGAAAAAGAGATGTGATCTTTCCAGCATAGTAATGGCCGACCTGGTTCCCTCCAGATGTTTTGGAGCATAACTCCCATCAGTTGCAACCAGCACAGTTATGCTGACTGAGGCTAATGGGAGTTATGGTCCAAAGCATCTGGAGGGAACCAGGATGACAACAGATCTTCTGTTTTAATGGACGCAACGAGTTGTTGGCCAATACAACCAAACCAGCTGTTTCCCTGTGGCAATACATGATCAAGGAGTTGGACAGAAGTCAGGGCCAAAGGTCACAGGAGCACACCAGGGTTTAGGAAAACCTTGTTGCTTAACAGGAAGTCTCCCTGTCCTGATTGGATGGACAATCCAGGCTCTGAAGAGACAAAGCTTCCTTGGGAGCTGCTACAGCATGCAGTTCAAGGACTCACCACATGGGGCAGCCACACATGAAGGGTCCCAATCCAAGCTCTGGCAGCTCCTGACACCCCCAAACTTCTCTCACCTATTGCATCACCACCAACCTTTTTTTCAAATTATTTTTAATTATCTTAATGATTATAGTAAACTCCTATAGTATAATTACAAAACAGAGTAATATTTCAAGAATCCAAACATGGGCCAGTGTACATAAACATTAAAACATCAACACAATATTAATGAACAAAAATCAAAATATAGCAAGGTTTGAGAAGTAGGAACCGGAAGCTATTCATCAAGCTAAAACGATAACAGTAAATCTGAAAAACCTAGGCGAATAAAAATGCCGTAATCTGGTGCTGGAAAGAGTACAATGTTGGCGCCAGTCTTGCATCCTTCAGCATGGTAGTTTGAAGCCAGAGTGCTTGGGTCTCCTGCTGCTTAGCTCCATTCTTTTCCCCTTACTCCCCCTTATTCCTGGAACAAGGTCCCTGGAAACCTTCAAGCTGTTATCTCAAATCTCAGGTCTTCTGCCGAGGCTTCAGAATACGTTTCCTAGTGAAACTCATCCTGAGCTGAATGCACATCCCCCTGTTTACCCTCCCTTCCATTTGTCACCCTGTGTCAAATTTCAGCTTGCAAGCTGCTAGGGACAGGGGCATGGGAGATAATCATAAGTTTGCGCAAATCTGGGAGCGAACAAGGAGCTCTCTGTATTTAAGGAGGGACATCACATGCTCACGGCCAGTGCTTTTCTGAAATCTGTCCAATTCCTTCCCCTGTGAAAAAGGCGTCCATTTGCTGTCTTTATCTCGGAGCACATTAGAATTTCTTTAGCAGTTCTGTACATGTGGGCCTTTCAGCTTATTGCAAGGAAGCTGTGGGCGGTGTATATATGTGTGTTTCAATATGATTAAGAGGAGTACATCAGCTTGACATTCTGGCTTCCTAAACCATGGTCTAGGGCAGGGTTGAGGAAACACTTTCAGCTCGAGGGCCTTCCTGGAGTCACCTGCTAGTGGTGCGCATGGCTAGAGGCAAAAGTGGGGTAGGTAATGAATGTGATATTCCAAAATTCAGAGGCCTCTCTCACCCACACCCACACACACTATCATCATCACAATTCAAGACCACATGCTAGCCAGGCAAAACAGTTGAGGAAACTGAGGATATTCAGTTAATGATGTGACCTATGGGATATTCCAAGGTCTGGATAAAGAGACCCATTCAGTTTCTGGGCAAAAGGTTCCTCTACACCTGGTTTAGGAACTCAGGACTGTTACATCCAAACAGGCCCTCAGTCTTTCCCTCGAGGTGCCAGGGATAGAAGCTGGTCCTTTTGCATGATAAGCAGAAGCTGTTCCACTGAGCTACGGTTCTCCCACCAAAGGCTATGGCTCCAGTCCTGCAGCCTATTTTCAGCTAGAGATGTGTTTCCGTTGGCACAAGTGTTTATGTCTGTCGAAACCAAGCTTGGAGATTTATATGAATGTGATGGGTTCGTATTTCAGTCTGTCAAATGTCAATAGGCAAAGCAAAATGTTTTATGCCGTAGTTACGGGATCCAGCAATTAAAGCATTTGACGAAAGTGTTTTTATTAGAATATCCATCAATATTTGTCCCAATTATTCTGCCGTTAAGCATTAAGAATAATTGAAGCAAATGGAGCCCAATAGAAGGGATACATCTGCTCTGATAAATTTTAGCCAAGAAGCATTGGGTCTCCTTTTTCTCAAGCAATATATTTCAGTATTACTCTTTAAAGCTAATAGAGTGAAGCTTCTGGAGTTTATTATGACATACAAATTAGGCTGCTGGAAACTGGTAACAAATTATCTCTCGTAAAAAGAAAAAGGAATAGAAACCAGACTGGTTTCATGGAACCAATTCTGTTAGGAATCGAGCAACAATAAATAAGAACATTTTTTTAAAAAGAAACCAAGGAGTTACGATACATCATTATGGGGAAAGGGTTGGGCAGGGGGTGGGGTGATGCCGCAGACCTATCCAAATATTTATTGCAATGACTAGCTCTGTGGGACCTCCAACCAGTAGGTGGCGATATACTATTGTCTTACTGGGTTTAATCACTAGCCCATAAATGCACATTAAAAGTGCAACCTTGGTGGAAGTGGCCTGTGTTAGTGCTGTTTGCAGTGTTCATTTTGCTATTGCAAGTGGGAGTGGGTGGGATCACAAGGAACCTCAATCCGCCACTACTTCTGGCACTTCTGCGCCTATTAAACAGCTGCCCAGAGTGGCTGGGAAAACCCAGCCAGATGGGCGGGGTATAAGTAATAGATGATGATGATGATGATGATGATGATGATGATGTCAGTCCTCATGTAATTGCCCAAGGTCTGTACCAGGTCTTCATTAAACTTCTGGTCTGGCCACTCTTGTAAAGGGCTGCTCTTTTTGTGAACCAACAACTATACTTCTACAGTGTTGTTCCCTAAGGTGTCTGCAATGGTGAAAGGTGGTCAGTTGGTTTCTTTGAGATGCAGTGCTCAGTGGCTCCACATAACAATTTTGTTATATAATAATAATTTTATTATTTATATCCCACCCAAATGGCTGGGTTGCCCCAACCACAAACAATCATGCAGAAGCACCAGCTTCTGCAAAGAGTACTTCCCTGTATAGGGAAGTTTTCAATGTTTTGTCTTTTTATAATTTGCTGGAAGCCGCCCAGAGTGGCTGGGGCAACCCAGTCAGATGGGAGGCATATAAATAATAAAACTAAAATTGAATTCTGTAGAGAAGGGCTCAGTAATTGAGCATCACTTTGGCATGCAGAAGGCCTCAGAT